ACCCCTCCCATTTTTGTAGTGAGTGTCTACACTGAAGCACTACTGCACTGCAGCTGTGCTGCTGTAGCATTTTAAGTGTAGACATAACCCTAAATCAGCTACTCTGCCATACAGTTTGTCTTTGGACTGTCCTCATGTAACAGGGGATCAGCAGAAATAAGGTCCCCCGTCCCCCTCCGGAATGCAAAGCTTCAAAAGCTGAACCTGTAGGTGGAAGTTTGCAATTCCCTTCTCCCATATACTTCCCAGGAATTCCATTTCACATGTAGTGTCCCAAAAGATCATTTATGCCCGCTACATTGGTCAACGTCGTCATTCAAAGCTCACACCACTCCCCCAAGATTGCTTTAATCTGATCTTCCTTCTAAAGAAGTTCCATGCAATCCCACAATAGCACAGAAACATTTGCTTTCTTAATACACTGAACTCCTAAAATACTTAAAACTTAATTCAATCAGGTTTGTCCAGGATACTGCTGGATATTGCCATAACTGTCACACTTACTACTTCAAGAAGGCCCATTGACTTCCAAGGGATTAATTCATGGGAGTAAGTACTTGGTAGTAAGCATTTGCAGGGTCAGCACTGGACCCCTAGACTGGTTAAAATTTTTAATTGGGAGGAGGGATATTATGTTTTAATGTATTTCCATATGGTTATAAGGTTATTTATCATCATCATTGCCAGCGTTGGACTACCAACATTAGGTTACACAGTATGCTGAGCATCTCAACAGGGCTGTGCTTTACAAATAATGTTAATAATAATTTATTCTATAATTATTTTGGGGTAGTCATGGTGATCATTGTGAGAATAATTTATTTTTTTTAAACTGTCACACAAACCATTCTATCCTGTAGATTTATCATCATATTTCTGTAATTACCATCTTTGAGTTTAAATGCATTTTAATAACTAAATTATTTATCATTATTATTATAGTAGCATCTAGAGATCCCAACCAGGATTGGAGCCCCATGACTTGATACATTTCATTTTTTTGAAGCATTATTACCAGAGGGGATGCTGGGGGGGGGGGGGGGGGAAGGCGCCCCCCCCCCCCCCAGATTTGCTGCTTGGCTTGGACTGAGCATGCTCACACAGACTGGGCATGCTCAGTAACACTACTGAAGCTGGCTGCCCTCACTCCACCCCTCGCCTCCCCACTATCAGCAGGCACGGGTTGCCTCTGATTATTACTCATCTCAGCTTGCTAATATAAAGGTGGTCATTGTTTATTTCAAACTCCCAGCTATCTAATCATTTGAAAACAATGGAGTTATACCAAATTTTACACCAGTGAGAGAAAAACAGACCCATAGGTATAAATTTTGAGAAGCTGGGAATGGGCAACAGGGGATGGATCACTTGACCATTACCTGTTCTGTTCATCCATCTGAAGCACCTGGCAATGGTCACTGTCAGAAGACAAGATACTTGGTTAGATGGACCTTTGGTCTGACCTAGTATGGCCATCCTTATGTTCTTATGGACAGTAAGTTTGAGTACATCAATTTTTGGATGCCCAGCTTTGGACAATGTAAAGAGACCTGATTTTCAGGAATCGGGTGCTCAGCACTCTCCTGGAATTCAAGCTCATTTAGGATATCTCAAACTGGGCAACCAAAACCTACAGCACTGAAAAACACTGGTCCCTTTTGAAAATTTAGCTCACAGGCTCCCTCTTATTTTTGTATCTGGATTTACTGCTCCCCTGGGGAGTTTGTTCTCCCGGTCTTCACCAAGAACTTGATCCAAAGCAGCTCCACAGCCTAGAAAAATGGACCTAATGTTCAGACAATTGGAGAAATACCTGCAGAATAATAAATCTACGATAACCACTTCTAACAGTCTTAAGCCATTCTGAGCATGTCTATTTTTATTAAATGCTTATATTATATCTATCAAGGCTTTCATATCACAGTATCTGTGCAGCTTCCTAAATTCCTGAGTTACCCCTTACAACCTTAGATGAACAACAGAGAAAAGGAATTCACAAAGTCAGACAGGGCACTTTAACCTCTTTTATTACATCACAGTTGTTGGGTTGGAAAAGTGATTAGCAATCAAGTCGATTCCTTCCCTTTTGCTCAGTCCTCACTCAGCAGGGATGGGAGGTGGAACAGTCCTTCTTCTGGAGGATTTCCTGTCCTTGGTTTTTTTGGGCTGGAAAAGCAGAGACTTGTTGTTGGCTGCATCCCCACGCTGATAATTGGTGACCCTACCCAGCAGCTTGTTGAGCTCAAAATCATTTCGGATAGCGAGTTTCAGGTGCCATGGGGAAATCTGATGCCTATTGTGGTGTTTGGTGATGTAGCCAGCCCTATCCACAATGTTGAAGATCAGGTATTCAAGAACTGCAGCCACATAAACCAAGGCTGTGGCTCCAATACCCTTTGCAAAGTTTCCTCTGCAGAGCATCCTATCCATGTGGCTAACAGGGAACAGCAGCCCGGTCCTGGATGAATAGGACACCTTGGCCTTGAAGTGCTTGGAGGTCTCACCAGAATTCATACTCTCACTCATGTCACCAGCTGACAGTGTTCAAGCAATTTGCTTGCCTGGTCTTTCTGGCCTTTCTTTTCCTGTGTTACTTTCTAGCCTGGTCAGATGAAGTCTGGCTTGCCTTGGCTTGGTTCATCTTATCAAGCAGAACTATGAACTAACCTTGCCAGACCCCTGGCCCTTTGAAAACCTTGGCAGAAGGGGGGAAAAAAACCAACACACCTCACTTTCTGATTGATCAGATGCTAACCAATGGAAAGCTACATCCTTTCCCAGCAAAACCAAGTGTGATATGTCATCCGTTCTATGACATCATGCCCTCTGGCAGTCCTCTTCAGATGTGATTTTTAGCCAATCACAGCTGCCCTTAGAGAAGCTCAATTATAAAATTATTTTAATTTCCCATAGTAATGATCCTTCTTTAAGCCTTTGAAATTATGAAACGCACAAGATGCCCCTTTCCACCATCAACTATTCCCTTCCCCGAAAAGAAACAGCAGAGGCACCAGCTTCAGTCTCCCCTGATCTCCCAAAACCAGAGCATCCTGAACTGACTTCTCCTCTCAAAACCTCCCTCAAACAACCAGGGTTCCAAGCCAATCCTACTACCCTCAAAAGACAACAATACATGTTTGTTCACAGTCTAGATGATCATAATGGTCCCTTCTGGCCGTAAAATGTATCATCCAATTACAGGATTGGAGCCTTAGGCTTTGTCTACACTAGAAAAGGTTTGCTAACATAACTGTCTTGGAGGACCCTCCTAGTTTACACAGCTTATACTGGCATGGTGCTTTTGCTTGCTACATCAGTAGAATTTTTCTAGTCTAGACAAGGCCTAAGCTACATCTGCAATTCGAGAGTAGACATACTCAGAGAGAGCCATTTATGCTTGCCTGCTCTGTACAGAAGGATTGGTGGCAGTGGGCGGGGGATAGCTGTCTCTTCTGCATCACCCCACCCCTTCCTGGGACCTCACTGAGGCTTCTCTGAAGGTCAAAGGGTCAGGCTCCTGAAAAGGACATGGAAACCAAGACCTTGTTACCATAATGTCTATTTCTTAGAGAGGCATTTCATCAGTAAACCTCCAAGCGCTTCACAATCTTTCATCTACCTATTCTCACCACACTGCTGTGAGGCAGGGCTGTGCTATTATCCCCACTTTCCGATGGGGAACCAAGACACAGAAAAGCTAAGCGACTTGCCCAAGGGCACTCAGAAAGCCCATGGCAGAACGAAGATGCAATCTGACCTCTTTTCCTTTACAAGCCAGCACCACAACCAGCCTCTCGCTCCACTGAAGAGAGGGGCTATGGGGAAAGGTGTAAGTACAGCAGTGAGGCATGGGGTTTGTTTTTGTTTTTTTGGCTGACGTAGCAACGCCCCTTTAAGTTTTAGATACAGACCAAGCTATAGTTTCATTTCCTTTTTGAGACCAGAAAATCCTCCCCAAACGGGCCATTGAGCTGCATTTCCGGGCTCTTTAAGGCCTTAGTTCAGGAAGGTACTTAATATTCCTGGGGGAATTCTTTGCCAAAAAATTAAAAATTCTGCATGTTTTATTTGTCAAAATAATGCAGTATAATCATGCTGGTTTCCATAATATAGGTAATTTATTTCAACTACAATACAATTTATGGAGAATAGGAGTGGGGAGCATTGGAGGAAATTGCCAAACCCCTTTGTCTAATAGTAATGTAGGTTTGACCCTTTACTTCTAGTTATTAGTCAACAAATACATAAAGTTCATATGCTCAATGTTACATCATAGGCAACTGAAAAGCAAGTGAGCGCTGAGGAATCAAACTCAATTTATATTGGCTACTAACCATCTCCAGAAAGGTCAGTAGCAAACAGTTCATGGAGCACATTCTGATAGGAAATTTTTTCAGTCCAAAAATTTAGACCAGTTCTAATCACTAAAGCACCATAAGCATTTATAAGGCCGTACTGTCCTTTACACCACTCTGGCAAAGTAAAGGAGCCTTAAAATGTTTACACCTGTTTTTACACTCCTGGGGGAATTCACAAAGACAATGGGAACAATTCACTAAGCAGGCAGGCTCTTACATTCTGTTCTGTCTGAGGAGACAGAGCCTACCCCATGCCTACCTCCTCAGAAACACCCCAAAGCCCTGCCCTTGCACATCAAGCATACTGCAATAGCGAGTGAGAGGGACAATGTGTGTGTCTCTCTCTCACTCACACACACACAGCCGGAGACTCCAAATCCCGTCAGTCCCTGCGCGCAGGACTCCATTTTCCGTGATGCACCGGGCCACACTCTCCCTCTATCGGCCGGAGGGTATCCGCGGCGCATGCGCGCTCCTCCCGAACTTGTGGAGTTGGGGGTGCGCCGCCATCTTGTCACGGTCTCAGCCAGCGCTGTGTAAGCGATGGGGGAGGAGGGGTCTGTCTCTTAAAGGGGACACGGCCCCAGGGTGGGCCCTCCCCTCCTCGGGGTAAGCTCGGGGAAAGGGGTGGGGGGCTTCGGGCTCGGGGGTACGGAGCGGGACCCGGTGCTGCCCCCATCCCGCGCTCTGCCCCGACGGGCCCACTTTAAGGTACCGCGGCGGAAAAAACGCAAGATGCAGTTGGGGAGGGGGAGAGCAAAGGGGGATTACCGCGCGCACGCACCTCTCCCCGCACAACTGCCGCTCCTGCCGCGCGCCTCGCTCTAATTGGCCAGAGGCGCCTGGCTGGAAGCGCAGCTTGAGGGAAGGGGAGGGTGATCCGGGCCGTGGGGGAGAGGGCCCCTCGTGGAAGTGGGCAGGAGCAGGGCTCTGATGGGGCAGAGGCGGGGTTGAGGGAAAGGGGCGGGGCTATGGTGGTAGGGACGGGGGAGTCTGGGGAAGAGGGGCTATGATGGGGGAGGGGCCGGGTTGAGGAAAATGGGAGGAGCTATGGTGGTAGGGACAGGGATGGTGGGTGGAGCTGAGGAGGGGCTATGTTGGAGGACCAGGGGTGGGTCTGGGGAGGGGCAGGGATGGGGCTGATGAATATTGGAGGGACTATGGTGATGGGTGGGGTTGAGGAAAAGGGGAGGGACTGTAATTGGAGGGGCAGAGATGGTCTAAGGAGTAGGGGCGGGGCTATGGTGGGGGGACAAGGGTGGGGGGCGGAGCTGAGGAGGGGCTTTGGTGGGAGGGGCCGGGCTGAGGGGCCATGGTTGGGGGAGGGCAGGCAGTGTGGGGTGGTAGCTCTAGGGCTGTATGGTTCCTGGGTAGCCGAGGTGGTGACTGGCCTGGCCCTGAGTTTGTTCAGGGGATGTTACTGGGGCAGGCTGGAGTGGGGCATTGGGTACTACTGTCCCCATGTGGTGAGAAGGGCAGGGCACAGTGGGTCCCAGGGATGCATTGGGGGAGCAGCAAGTAAAGGGCAGTGCACAATGAATGTATAGATCGATTTAGTCCTTTGGTGAGGAAGGGGTTGGGTGTTATTGATTAAACTGATTACTTTTAGACAAACTAATACAGCAGGAGAGGGAAGAGGCCTTTGAGAATCTCTCTGGGAGGCCTGTCCCCCACACCCCTTATCCCCCTCCACCCTAATGATGTGATAGTCCCTTTTCCTTCCCCCGCCCCCTAGACCCATTTCTTCCTGGGATATTCCCCTTGCCTTCTCCTGACTGACCGATCTCTACTGAGACGTCCCTCTACCTTGTTTGGTCCCTCACCCCACACACTATTTCTTTTGGTGGGTACAGTCTTCACTAGTTGGGTTCTCAGATGCTTTCCTCACCCCCAGTAATGTCCTAGTTGGGCTCACCGCTCCCTGTATCTGTCTCAGTGTGCCTCCCACAGCACCACAGACAGGATCTCAGCACCACTCCCTCTGTGTGGCCCTGAGGGGTTTGCAGCTCATGCCCTAGTCTCTCTCTCCCCGCTCCCAGGCAGGCAGCATCCTTGGTGGGAGGATGGAGCAGAGGCGGCAGGGCCGCCAACGGGCCTCTGAGTGCATCCGCAAACAGAAGCGCAAGGAGCTGGACGCCCGGCGCAGCAAGTGCCGCATCCGCATCGGGGGCCACCTGGAGCAGTGGTGCCAGCTCAAGGAGCAGCTGGGCTTCTCCCTGCACTCCCAGCTGGCCAAGTACCTGATCGACAGGTGAGGAGTGACTGGAGAGGGAGGGATGGGAGTACTGGTCCCACAGCAAGTGCCAGGGTATGGGAGATAGGTCCTGTGGGAGGAGGGAGAAGTGGCAGGGGCTCTGTAGAATGGACATAGGAGACCCTTGATTTCTTTCACAGCCCACCTCCCCCACACCTTCCCCTAACAGGGCCCACCCTCCTCACAGCCCCCATTTCCCTCCCAGATCCTCACAGGTTCCTCCTGTCCCAAGCCCCCCCCCCCCCCCCCAATTTCCCTGACAAGCTCCAGTATGTCCTTTCCCCTGATTTCCCCCATTGCACCCTAATTGGCGTCTGACCTTGATGCCTGTCCCGTATGGTGGTTGAGATTTTGGGGTGGGGTGATGGAGGTCATGGAGCAGGTTCCCTTTTCTCTTCCAAGTGGATGGGCTCAGCCAGGGGGTGCAGGAGCTGTGTTTTCAGGGTTCCCTCTCTGCCCCTTGCTGTTCACTCAGTCTCTCACCTTCTGTCCCCACCTCTCTCTGCTGCAGGTATACTTCCCAGGGCTGCGTGCTGAGTGCAGGTAGGCACCTCTCCTGCCTAAATGGGGTCTCTGTGACTTTGCATGCACTTCTCCTTGGGGGGAAGGGTATGCAGCTTTGAGTGTCCTTCTAAAAAGGAAGGTGCAGTGGGGGGATCCCCCCTTTAGTGACAGTCATGTCAGGGAGAAGGATTACATGGTGGGGGTTGACTGTGCTTCAGCCCCAGTGGTGCTGTGTTATATGAGTGGGCATGATGGGGGGGATCGCCTTGTGTTTGTGGCACTGACTCTCTATACCCCTTGTGGCTCAAGTCTGTGGTTTGGCAGTAGCGCCTAGTGGCTCAAGTCTGTGGGTTGGCAGCGGGGGAACCTAGGCCCACCGCTCCACTTGGTTCTGACCCAGGGCCTTGGGGCTGGTAGTTCAACGGAATCACTAAGTCTGCTCCCTAGGTTTCTTCCTATGGTACCCCCTGCCTCTCCAGAGGCCCAATAGGGGCCTGGTTATTGACTTGCAACACGTACTCAACTGAAAGGGGTCCAGAGGTTCCTCACCCTCACTGTATCTCTCTGATGGTGGCCTGCAGCTCTATATTGAGGTCTGCTTCAGGCAGCATGGAACGCCTGCTGTATCCCTGCAGGAGTTACCAGGGAAGGTCTGCTCCCTTGCACTGACCACCCAGGCTGCGCAGTGCCCTTTCAAGCTCCACGTCCATTGTGAGCACACCCAGCAGATGAAGCTGGGCTGAGCCTCCAGGGCCCAGAGCTACTCCTTAACCCTCTGTTCCCCAGCGTAGGGTTTGTACATCCCATCACAGGGGGTTAGAGTTAATTAAGGGGATATTGCTGTGGCCTGCAGGGGTACTGGGTTGTGTGGAAGTGGAGCTGTGGCCCCCTGTCATGGAGTTCGGAGTGCAATCCAGACCAGTAAGAGGTTGTGTCCCACTTTCCCTGCAACCCTGGGTGTCCTACAGTGCTTTGCAGCATAGGCGCTGACTCCGTGGGTGCTCCGCGGCTGGAGTACTCACGGGGAAAAATTAGTGGGTGCTCTGCACCCACCGGCAGCCAAGCTCCCCACCCCACCTCACCTCTGCCTTCTCCCCGAGCACGCCCGCATCCCCGCTCCACCGCCTACCTCCCAGTGCTTGCTGCCGCAGAACAGCTGTTTCGTGGAGTAACAAGCTTCAGGAGGGAGGGGGGAGGAGCGGGAACATGGGCGGGCTCAGGGAAGGAGGCGGGGCCGGGGCGGGGATTTGGGGAAGGAGTCGAATAGGGGCAGGGAAGGGGCAGAGTTGGGGCGGGAACTTTGGGGAAGGGGTGGAGTCGGGGCGGGGCCGGGGGCAGAGCGGGGTTGAGCACCCACCGGTGCCAGCAGAACTCTGTGCCTATGCTTTGCAGTGCACAGCCTGGGATGCGCGCAGTCACCCTACAAGCATGCTCTGTAGGAGAAAAAGGGACCCCCTCTGGCCCCTGGTTTGAAGCAGGTGCCCCATCCTTCCTTATGGCATATCAGTGCAGCATGACGACTAGCTCCGTTTGCTTCTGATGAGCTGCTAACAGACCTCACTGTGCGTACAGCTCTTTTGATTGCTTCTTGGTGCGCTCAGTATCTGCTTCTTTTCTCCTACTGCCTTTTCTGCTTGCGACTCATCTTTATGCTTTCCTTTGTTCTATTTCCTTCCCTGAAATAAACAGAAAACAATAAAACTGTAACCTTTCTTTGACTCTCCCCAGCCTTTTCACTTGAAAAATACTTAAAACTATTCTACTAGTGCTTGGAGTGCAAACCTCAGTTAAAATAGCAAGCTGTGTATAAATCTTATTTCGACTACACCACTGTCAAAGGGTGTTGGGGTGTGATCCAGACCAGTAAGGGGTTGTGTCACTGCTTGCCCTGCAGCCCTGGGTCCTGTACAGTGCTTTGCTGCTATAGCCCACAGCCTGGGATGCTCACAGCCAGCCTACAAGTATGCAGGTTACACCCTGAGTGTCTGTGTGCTAGACAGCCTGGGTTCCGCAGCTCTGACCCCAGCAGCGAGCCTACAGCCCTACTCTGGCTTCCACCAGTCTTGGTTACAACCAGCAAGTTGAGCCCAACACTCTCCCAGTCCCGAATTTTCCCAAAACCATGTGCTCTGCAATGTCCAGCCCTCTCCTGGACAGTTCAGAGAAATAATATGGTCAGCTTGTTCCTTTGAAGAGTCAAAAGTACATCACAGTTTATTAACCAGGATAAATACACCTTTCCCTGCAAACAGCACTGAGTTGGTTTATAATAAAAATCAAAGAAGTTTATTAGCAGGACATAGGTTAAGTGATACCAAGTGAAAGGAATAAAGTTAGAAAGGGAAACACACAAATAAAAGTGAAAACACGGATTGAAAAGTCTAAAACTGAATCCAGCAAGGTACAGGCTTTGTTCAAAATGTTTTTTCTCACCAAGCTTCCTTCTTCACAGCTGTGGTTCACTTTCCCTCGGTCAGGACCTTCCACAGAAATATAAGATGTTGGCTTTCCTTGTCTCCCTAGGTGAAAGATCTTTGCCTAAGCAGGTTTCTCGCCTATATTCAGTTTCCAGAGACTTCAACCCCTCCCTTGGTTGAAGGGCCCATCTTTCTCAGCTTGTAAGAGTTCTGTTCCCTTGTGTCTGTCTAATGATGGATGCCAGACATGGCTTCTCTCTTTGCTTATATCTTCCAAAGTTCAATGATTTTGTCTCAAGAGGCAGAGTGACCTCATGCTGTTCTTTCTGTCCTGTGGACTTCCCATCCCCCTGCTGATTTCTATGTAAATAGGGCTTCCATTGTTTTTGGTCACACCTTGCTTAATTTTACTGGAAACAGATAGCTACCTTGGCTCCTGTCTGGGTGGGGGCCTGTTTCTCCCTGTTTGACCACAGACTTTAAAGCATGATATCATTAAGTATCCATATTTTCTCATATTGTGTTTATACATACATTTCACAATGATATTACTAGTTTACCAGTGTGTTACTAGCTTTCAGAAAAGACCTCACCCTATGCACTTTTATAATACAGTAATATTGTATACAATCAGTTGATTCAATTGCTTATCACTTGAGGTTCAAACACCCCCACCCCCATCTTTAGAGACCAGTAAACTTGGCAATATTTTTTTTGAAAAGTAAAACCCAGACCAAGTTTCTCTCTCTTGTTGGGGCATAGACCCCATGCTGTCTCTTCCCCCACTTGTTAGCTTGATAGCTTTGGGTATTTGATATGTAAATGGACCTTCATTGTCTCTCCCTGACAGCCTGGTCAGAGAAGCAAACACATTCCTTTGTCTAGGGCAGACCTGTTTACAACTCCCCTGACATGTCTCATTTAAACATACTTTAGTCACAATTCTAGTCTATATCCATAACTCTTAACGCACATTGCGTCCATACATCACGCAAGAATATTAATGATCAGTGAGTTATTAGTTTTCAAATGATACCTCATACGGCATATGTTGTACAAAAGTTATTCCAGTAGTGTGCAGTATATGAATACAGGAGTATTTAGAGTCACACGACCAGGAAGTTGGGTAATGGGGGAGGAGGGGATGGTGCTGTGGCTCCCCCAGAGGGGTAGGATTATATGGAGAGGTTGGGGTAAATGTTGGGATGGTGCAGTGTCCCCTGTGGGTGCTTCGGTTATAGGCGGGGGTGACAGGTTATATGGTGCTAGGGGCACACTGGTTTACATGTGGTTTCCCTCTCTCCCCCGTCAGGGCAGGGTGGCTCAGATCCCAGCGCTCTCCCCACGGATGCCCTGCAGCGCCTGGTCGTCCTGTCTCATGTTCACAGCCAGGAGTGCAGCTTTATCCCCAATGTGAAGACCCCCTCACCAGGCGACAAGGGGGCCCCAGGGAGTCTAGTGTGGGAGTGCATGGCTGGACACACCTTCTCCTGGGGCCCCCCTGCACCGGAAGAGCAGGGCTGTGTCCCACCGGGAGGTAGTTCACAGCCCGGCAAAGCTGCTTCCCGGCGCAAGAAAGAAAGAGGGGCCAGCTCAGGGCCTAGCCCACCACCTTCCCCAGTTACCAGCCGCAGGCGCTCACTCCGCAGGGCAGCGCTTGCCCAGGACTCCTCTGGGACGATGGTTAAGGTGGAGCCCAACCTCCTTGGGAACAGTGGGGTGGTGGAGAGAATGGCAGCTCCATCATCCACCAGCAGCATGGACCACGGCGGAGAGCTAGGAGCAGGAAGCTCTGACACTGACGCAGGTGAGGGAGTGAGCAGGACCCCCCTGATTCCGGACCCCTATGCAAGCATAGGGTGGCACAATGGATGCAACTGACCAGCCTTCCCTTTCCCAGGGCCCCACAGCCTTCTCCTGTCCAGCCAAAACTGGGATTTCTCCTCCCTCTCTCCACTGGCCCTTGATTTCTTGTGCCCCTGTTGACTCTAAATCCCCCATAGCACTCCCAGCCCAGAGTACAGGCTAGCCAGCTCCCCCTGTACATTGGAAATACAAGTTCAGATAGCCCTTCCTCCACCCCATACCACCCCCTCCCTATCTGAAGGGGATCCGCTGGACTCTGTTAAGCAAACGAGCAACCCATGAGTCTTAGCTCCATCCACAGTAATGATAGGGATCCTGTAATAATAACCACCCTCCTCTAAACTAGTCCCTATCCCCCTACATTCGCCCCCACCCCTGGACAGTACAGGAGCCTGACACCAGGCCCTGAGCATCAGTCAGCAGATTCAGGCCCTTTCGAGTCAAGAGGAGAAATGAGTTGAAGAGGAATGCCAGACCCCAACACCCAAATGTTCCCATCATGGGCATCCCAGGCCCCATCAAACTGCAGCTTGAGGACTAAGCATCTACCCTAAAACCAGGCTGAGGCCTTGGACGGTTCAGAGATTTAAATCAGTTACAGGGACAAGGGTGGGTCACTGAGTCCCAGGGCCCTGCAAGGCTTTCATTAAGTTCCAGGAACGTGGATAGGTCTCCTCTTTGCTAGGTCTTTTAACTGTGTTGTAACCAACCAGGTCACTGGCTCGGTGATGCTTGAAGTGAGTATGTGGCCTTAGTGAAAGCACCCAGCGTGTCCCTGCTGTTCATGGGGAGAGAGACAGGTCTTTTTAGTGACGAGGGCCCAAGTTCCATGGAGAACTTTTCAGATCCACATCTGTCCTGGGAGTGAATTGGGAGCCAGGGCAGGCATCCTATGCTGTTCACACTGCTGACCTAGTTGGCAGGTGTATCCTGACTTCTGTGAAGCTTTCAAATGCAGCCCCATGTTAGGCATGGGGCAGTGGTCCAGCCTGGAGGTCCCGAGGAGAGGGGTGTTTGTGGGTGTCCCCCAGCTGTGGAGGAACAAGGGCTGGAACACAGAAACTGCCAGAACAGATCAGACCAGGGTCCATCTAGCCCTTTATCCCTCAGTAACCGGTATCAGGTGCTTCATAGAAGGGGCAAGAGACCCCCTATTGGACAGTTATGGAACAACTTGTTTATAGTTTCTTCCTAGCCCCCTTCCTCTGGCCTGTTAGAGGTTGGTTTATACCCTGAATGAGGATTTAGTTCCCTTCCTCGGGGCCTTATCACTCTGCATTCCTCTCTCCTCCCAAACCTTCCCTGCACCGTCTCT